CCTATCTAGGTTTATAATTTTCTTTTGTCTTAATTGAGTTTATATAGGAGATAAGATAGAGCTGGATAGTCTTCTTGCCCTGGTGTTAACGTTAGACTTTTACAGGAATGAGGCCCAGCTCTGATGATGTCCGTTAAATGATGGACGAAAGCTCAACCGGTTTTCACCCGAAACGAGGGAGGAGGTCTCGTGGATTGCGTCAGCCTGAACGTCGTATAAAAGCCAAACGGCTGCAGTACAACGCAATTCAGCCGTCCTCATCTGGTGAGATCGACCTACGAATCTCTTCGTCATGCACTTTCTAATGAAATGAAAGTCATCCTAACAAAGATATCTCAGGAGACTCATCGAAACCCAGTTTTTCTTCGTAACATTGAAATTAGTTACTGAGACAAGTATGAATTGAAATCTATTCCAGCTTAGAAACTGAAAATAATTAAAACTGTTTTAGTAAAATTTAAAGGCAATGAAAATTAGATAATTCAATCTTGATCGTATCAAATGTGCCAATATTCATTCAAACTGTTGAATTTTATGGACAAAAAAATGGATCATACGCTCTTTTGCACCGAACGCGTTTCCTAAGCCTAATCAGAGAGGAATGGTGGTCTCGCGAACTGATCACAGAGAGACGAGTCAAATGCATCAGAAGAGGAGCAAAAAGCCGGGTTCGCGTGATCCGGCCAGGCCGACGCAGATGTATAACCTCAACACGACCGGAGAAGCGGCCCATGGCAAGATCTATTGGCAAGTGAGCCTCACTAGTAGCTGAGTCGTGGGGGTAGGTTGAGTCGGAAATTCGGCCCGGTTCCGCTGATGAAATATGTGTTTTTGGAAGGCCAAGGAGTCGGGCCAATAGTCGCTGACCGACTGATTCTGTTCGATGACGCTTCGAAACTTTTGCGGACCGATGGTGATGATCTACTTCAGAAACATCAGTATCGGAGTCCTTATTATCAAGGCATGGCCCGACCTGATCAATGTGATTTTTTGATCGACAAGGCTGGTCCAAGGAGCGTGACAATGTAAAATGTGGACCAACCCGACGTGGAGGTCGTCGCCGTCTATTTGGAGGACTGGTTTCAGCGTCTAGATCCCATTCTGAAAACGAGGATGATGTAGATGACGATGAGCAAGATGAAAAAGATGAAGTGTAAGGTGTGGTCGACAGAACGGATGTGTCGCTGTGTTCAGTAATCTCGACGTCGACAGGGCCTAGAGAGTTCAGGGGAAAAAGGTAACTTAAAGATGAAATCACTGAACACGGCAATTAGAAAGAAAAACAAAACTTAAAATGTGATGATAATAAAAAGAAACACTATACAAATTATAAATGAATATTCTATTGGTGATTAAGCTTAAAGGAAAGGCCTTCAAACATTTATTAATGCATCCAGTGCCTATAGAGCCTTCATAACAAAACCAATAAGATCAATAATTGATTATTTTTTAAGTGAACATTCTTTCGAGTTATGGAATAAAATGGAGCCCACAAATGTGAGGACTTTCAAGCCATTGATAATAAGCAGTAAATAATAATGTTTTACCTTGATCGCTAGGAGACTGATGAAGAAGCTCGTCTTGCCTTTGACTAGTAAGGTTTGGCCATAGATGGTCAACGGGAGGAATGGACGATGGAGAAGAGGGCGATGGGGAAGAGGGTGCAGAATGTGAACGAGAGCTTGTTTGAGACAATTGGCCGATAGTTCTGGGGTGACCAATCTGCTGTCGGATAAGACGATGCATAGTGCCAGAGGAGGTATAGCCATTGCAAATAAATTCGGACCGTTCTGAATATTTGTGTATGGAGGAAAGGATTTTTGAATATATACTTGATAAAGATGCACAATAAAGCAAAAGTGATGGATATATTTGGAAGTTGCTAAGTAAAGTGAAATATAAAATGAGTTTAAAAACAATGTATGAAAAAAAATTAAATCGTGATTGAATATTAATGCAAAATAAGGTACAAGGTTATCAATCGCATTTCAACCTTGTGCTTGCCATAAATGTTTGATATATTTTACTTAATAAAAATAGCAAGAAATAGAATACAAGAAATAAATAAAAGTAACCTTATTTTGGTTAAATATTTTTCTTCCATGCAAAATCTTTATTCTATGCAGGTATTTGAATACCTGACACTCGTAAAATAAATGCCTTAAATTGCAAACAGGTACATTCAGACGAGATTCATGTCCGCTTTCTGTTGTTACCAAATAATCCATAAAATTATAATGAGCTCATCATAATTCATGCAGAACAGATCCCCTAACTCACCTGAAGAAACTGGGCCATTGCACATCGGTGCCAAGACGGGTGGAGATCGTTCAGGCGATGTCAATCTATGAGTGTTTGTGTTATGACGAGGAGCCGATTTCATCTTTTTCTTTGCCTCAATCTCAATCTGTCGTTGCTTGTCCTCTATATTCAATCGAGGAAAGCCATGTATTTTATTAGAGCTATTTAAGTTGGAAGAAAAAGTAATTGTCGTCACATCTGGCTGCTCAGACTCTTCAGTTCGACTGGTACTAGGGATCGTCATCGTTTTCGTTGACACACAGTCACGAGGTGGATGAAAAGTTGGTGTAACTGTGGCAATAGGGCAAATAGCAACAGAGAGACCGGTCAATCGAGTAGGCCGTCGCCGCAGACTAGCAATCACCAAAAGGCGACGATAATTAGTTCTAGTTTGATTGTGCCGGCCGAGGTCTAGATGAGGAGTTGCGGCTGAGGATGAGCTAACGGCTGAAGCTGAGTCATAGGAGAGGCGTTCGCCAGGAAGGATAGAACTATGAATAACATGAGAGGCCGCAAGACAGGTTGTTAAGAGGCGCTGTTCAGAAAGCAGCTGACGAAGACCGGATACGAAGCAATGGCGTGCAATTCGAGGTAGCTTAGATAGCAAGCTGTCTGCCCGTGGAATGTAGACCACAACTCCAGGACATGAAGATAGTCCGTTAGTTCGATGATTAGCCAAATTTAAACTATGTATGAAAAAAGAATAATAATAAATATTTATGCTAGGCCTGTCCTTGCATGTTTTCTACTAAGTATTCATGAACAGGTTACGGACTCCGTTGAAGATGTTACTGCCTACAAGAGGTCGAAATGGAAGTCCAATCAGTATGAGTAAGCAAGTTGCCATGTAATGCACAAGAGACCAATTATCGATGCTAGCATTGCAATCCCTGCCACCAGCTTTCGTCAAGGATAAAAAGTTAACGGCTTGAATAAATAAACTCAGTGAATCTGTGAAGACAATTCCTCAGACTATCTACTCTGTATGCAAATTAAGCTGGTCGATCAAATAGCCCATCACAGTCTGTGTAGATGATCCGCCAAGTTAATGTACGTCTCTCCTAGCTCTTATAAATCTGCGGTGGCATCGGTAGGTTAGATCTTCAGGTGAAGGGGACCGCACTCACCCAATGTGCTTGATATCATCAAAATATTGTAAAGTTACAGGGAACAAAATTAAAGTATTAGCCATTTATATTCCAAAATGTTAATTTCATTAACGAATGGCAAAAAGATCAAACGTTGTTCTATAAAGTTCAGTCGCCATTAACTATGAGCATGAAGCC